CACATATATCAATTGCCCCCAGACTTTCGTCCTAAACACCAACAAATCAATATCCACCAAGGACAAACCCAAGTAAAACTCACAGCAAAGAGACAAGATGTAGCACTCAATAGGCTAAAGGAGAAACTCCAAACCACAATGCACAATAGCCCGTACCGTCGAATTCTTACCTAGGCTCTCTGCATCCACCATTCTTGCACATGCTACCCCATTTTCTCAATCGTCTCCTTTTACCCAAATTTCTTTAGCTTCTTGGGAACAGGAGACTTGACTTGATCCAAAATGTATACACCCAAGTGCAGGCAGTCAAGCTGTAGTAATAATCCGGTGAAGTCCGGAGTTGAATCCACAGGGAGCTATGATTGGTGTTTTGAAGTAAGCAGTAATAGAGACCAAGTAACTTTTGAAAATTTTACGTGTTTGGAGTGGTGGGGTTTTCTTGATTAGAATAGAAGATTCTTTTCAAGAGTTTTCTAGACAAAATATAAGATTCTCAAAATGGAACAACCACTCTTTAGCTCGAGGATCAGGACATGTAATAGAGTATCCATTTTGTTATGTTTGTGCTTTATAACTCAATTAACTCCCGTGTCAACAACAAGTTAATCGAAAGATAAAGATGGACTGTGAGAATTAAGCACATGATTTCGATGCCTTTCTAGAAGTTTAGAAGAATTTTTTGTGCCGAGACTTAACCCGTCTACAAACAAGCAAGTGTTTTTACAAGGCATTCAACCATGGCATTAATGATCCATTCTTTGAATAAAGCACAATGATAGTGGGGATTGAAAGATTGTCATAAAGAGCTAGCTGGGGTACTTGCATTGAACCAATGGATCTTTCTATGCAGGAGTCATCCGTATCACAGATTGAGCCCTTGGTTATACAAAGTACCTCAACTTTACTAGGTGCATTCAATCATCCGATGAACAGATGGAGTATAAACCATTAAAACATGAAGAAGTTGCACAAACATAATTTTTGAATACTCTTTACAAATTCATCACTCTTACTAAAGAGTTAATGAGGAACTACTCACTTTTCATGGCCTTGGCAAAGTTAGAAAAGTGAGTGCTACTCATCCCTCTAAGTAAAGAGGCTACTAAGTAAAGCAACTAAAAAAATAGCTTTTCTTCAATGAAGAATAAGTGAATCACTTTCCACCCTTCATGACTTTGGTAAAGCTCTGGAAAAGTGGAAGAGTTTCACTCTTCTAAGAAAGAAGGATGCTCAAGCAATGGAAGTGAAATACATGAACAAGAAAAGTAGAAGAAAGCTAGTTACTTTTGGAGGGTTTCCACCACAACCAAAAGATGAACTACCTCTCTTGATACTTTGTAAGTAAAAGCAAGTACAACTACAAGGGGAGTCTAAGCCTCTATCATGGTTTTCACAACATGAATGTAAAGACTTAGCATAAGTAAATGAAAGACTTCAACTACAAGGGGAGTCTAAGCCTCCAACATGGTTGATATAAATGGACAATGAAAGCATAAACATGAAATATTCAAGAACTAGATTACTAAAACACTCTGACTTTACAAGATAAAGATTGCTCCCTCCTTTCTCCACAAGAGGAAGAATGCCCTTTTAAGCTCCCAACAAGGGAGTATTTATAGGCAAGGAAGGGGAGGGGGTGGGGTAGGAGATAGGTGAGGATGAGTGAATAGTGTTTGCCGCCCATGGGAGTCAACTATTCTGCAAGCAGTCTGCAGGGGGACGTTCAAATGTTATCTGGCGTTTGAACGTCAAGTCTGCCTTTGCTTTGAAGGCGTTCGAACATCATCTTTCTTCCACTCGAGTGGCCTGTGGTCACTGACTTGGTCTCTGACTTAGTCACTTCCACACGCCTTGACATCATTGACTGTACACTCAGCAACTCCTTAGTCACTCAAGACACCGTTCGAACGTGGAATGACGTTCGAACGTTGTACTCAAGTGCTTCTGGTTCTTCTCTTTTTGTTGACTGCAACACGCCATGTCTCAGCAGCTGGTCTTGGTAGGGTTTCAGATGGCGTTCGAATGTTGGTTGACGTTCGAACGCCCTTGCTTTGTTCCAACCTTTTGCATTTTTGCTCCCTTTTGTGCTGGTGTTACATTCAAGTGTGATTTTTGTTGTTCTTGGGCCTTTTTTCACTTTAGGACCTGAAATGTCATTACTTAAACTTCGTCAAAGCACAATTAGTCTAAAAATGAATAGTAAAATTTGTTAATTTTACGCACGAATCAAGACTCATCCTCCTCCTTACTCCCTAAATCAACCATCATTGGCTTTTTACCCTTAGCCCTTGCTGATGCTCTGCTCATTGCCGATGTTGTGGCCTTGAACTGGGGTGACCCTTTGTGACATCCCAAAATCCAGGTGTCCTTTTTCAAGTCATTAATCACCCATTAACCCGCATAATACCCATGGATACTATATAACACAACACCACGTCATTATATCTCATTCACCGGGATCATAACGAAACAGAATTCGAGTAGAGTCTCCTTAGCATGGGAGCACTACCCAACACATAACATGTTCACATGTTAATCATATGACCATTTCAAGGTCCAAACCCCAAAATCTAAGACTTAAAAATTGACCATTTACATCATCCAAAGGAAAGAGCTCAAGATTTGAAGGCTCAACAATGTTACAGTTCAAATTTCAATTATTGGGAAGAGGTACCGGTACCTGTGATAAGTGGTATTAGTACCTAAGCCCTCTGGTTACCAAGTACCATTACCTATAAGACTTGGTATACTTGGGCCCCGGGCAGTGTGGTACTTTGAAGCATAGGTATCGGTACCTAAACCCACTCTCATCGGCGTACCGGTACCTGTGAGCCTAGGTATTGGTACGTGAGCCCACTGGAACTTAGGTGCCGGTACCTCAAGCCCAGATTTTTCCAAATTTCTCAAATTTTAACTTTTAACCATACAATCTCATACAATACCCATCACATTCATTTTTTTACAAAAGAATAGTTGTACAATAGTATCCCATTACATGCCTTTTTCAAAGTACAAGGTTTGTACATAATTTATGCAAGGCCAAACTAAAGATATACAAGGGACTACAAAATGTAATTCACAAGCCATAACCCAACTCGGTCGTCAACACGGGACCAAGTGAGGGCCATTCCCTGAAGCTTGTCCAACACCTGAAATTTATTCCTATAAAGGGTGAGCCATGCTCAATAGGGTGTCTCCCAAATACATCACTCCCCAACCCAAAATGCATATGAAATGTCACATGCAAGTCATTATATCAAACATTCATTCGAACACATACTTTTCATAGATGCATGCTACAATTTCATGCCATGTCATGAGATCAAGCTCACACATGGAATGGAAAATTGAGTCCTCCACCTACTCCCATAACACATGTCATGTCATGTATATGCATCCGGACATTCTAAGCCCCCGCCATTGATGTTAGACATCCAATGACCATTTTATAAAATCTTATGTCTTTTTGGTTGGGTAATTTATGGACATCACACCCACGATCTACCAAATCGAAACGACATTTGAGGGCATCACACCTCCAATTTCGAGTACATCGACAGACTTTTTCAAAATTTCACTACAAGGCAAGTGAGTGATTCAAGTAACCGGATCTTCCACCCTAGCGAGAATCAACCCCTTCTTGCTACACCTGACACATATTTTCAATGCAACCCATGTGATTTAGTCGAACCTCAACCCAACCTTTTCGAGCCCGTGTATCAATCGACCAAGAATGGTGTTTGATCAAAATCATGCATATACACCCACAATCATGTCAAATGCCCACGAATGCAATGCTACCCATGCATGTGCAATTACATTTCATATCATTATGTTCATCATATCTTATAGCATATAATAAACATGTCATTTTTCACAAACATCCCCAAGCATGTCATGTGTGATATCAATCCAATTAATATACTTGAATTTCTAAACATTTTATCAAACAGTTAATAGGCAACATTATGTAAACACATATCATGCCCAAACAACACATTATTTGCGAAATCCATATCAAGAAATTTCATTAAACCCAAATCATACAAGAATTGGTTTTCACACATTCTCATACCCATTTTTCATATTCTAACTACACTAGGTATGTGCTATACATGAGAATTCATATCTAAAACCCTACCCATTTCATATTTCAACCCTTTTCTTTAAAGCTTTAGATTGGTGTGCTAGATGCATGAGCTTCTTATTCAGGACATCCCTACTTTTCACGCAATGATTACTATGATGACCAAGTTCTCCACAAGTATAGCACAATTCATATGATTGATTTGGGTTTCTTTAATAGCTTTATTTTTCGAATGCCTACCTTGACCTCTATTAGTATCTTTAGGGCTTGTGCATACTTGCGGAGGTGATGTGTCGGTGATACCCTTCACAAACACAATTTTGGAAGAAGTGTTGGTGGATTTATTTGTGTAGCCTAAACCACGCCTATCGCCTATACTATTTCCCATAGACAACATTTTATCAAACTTTTTATTGCAACCAAGAAGTCTCTTAGAGAGTTCATTTAATTCATAAAGATCTTTATCATGTGATGGGACACTTTCGAGAGTCACCAAGGAGTCGACATGTTCCTTGGCATGAGAGACTTGGGTGCTCCCTCGAGTGACATGTGTCCTCAACATTAGAGATTCTCGGCCCCTATCTGCAAGTGAAATGTGTCCTTGGCACTAAAAGTCCCTCAAAACTCCCTGCGAGTGACATGTATCCTTAGCACTAAGGGCATCTCAGAGTCTTCATCAGTGACACCTATCCTTAGCTCCCAAAGTTTCCCGAGTAGATCTCCACCCGACACGTGTCATCGGCGTGCCTAATTCCCCCGAGGTCGATTTCTAGTTACGTCACCTCAGCTCTAAGATCTTGAGGCTTGGATGGCAGATTGACAATTATTGTTATTAGAAAAATAAGACATTAAAGAGGGCTTTGTATCCCTCAAAGCAATAAAAATAGAATCTAAGTTACAAGGAAATAAAAAGCTAAGCTCTTGGTGGGCTGGTGACCTTTCTGTCGATGTCACCTCCAATATCTCCAAAGAGTTCATCAATGCTTGCAGAGAAGGAGTCAACACTACGAGAAGGGGGTGCCAGGTCAGTAGGGATAGCAGGGGCATCGGTCTGAGAGACAAGAATAGTGCTAGAAGCAAGAACGACATCGATAGAAGCAGGAGCGATGTCAAAAAGAGGGAAAGTAGGATTGCCCCGAGGTTCAGGAGTAAGAGCCACAGTCTTAACTGCTAGGGCTGAGTTTGGTACTTGTCATATTTCAATGTCTTCAACTGCAGCTTCTAACGAGGCTTACACCATCTCCTCATAGGGGACGTACTCATGCTCCTTGAAGAGTGGAGACTTGGCAGAGACCCCCTACCTCCCAAAGTGTATCATCCTAACCGGCCTTGAAATACTCCTTCTTGTTCTTTTCAAAGGCCACCAGGATGTCATTAGCATAATGGTTGACAATCTCCTGCTCCATCTTCTTATTTGCCTCCCACTCAGCCCTTAACTTGTCTAACTCTTGGGTAAGGGCAGCACAAGTTTGCTTTGACTCAAGCACCTTTGCCTCAGCTATCGACAACAACTTTGTCACCTCAGTGATCCTCTTCTCAACGTCGGCGAGAGAGGCCTTTGCTTTGTTAGCTTCCCCCTTAGCAGCCTAACTCTCCTTGAAGAGCTTGGCAATTTGGGTTCCCTGAGTGGATAGGGTCTTGTCCCGAGCGGCCACCTCCTTCTTTGCCAAGGACATAACTCCTTGGGCCTTCTCCAGCTCGACTTGAAGCCTCTCACACTCTTAGATTTTGTCCTAATGAGTATGGAAATGCTCAGTGATGATTGATATTTGCTAGGCCATTTGAAAAATAATGGAAATGATGATGCCAATGAAAACTTAAGAAGAAAATAAGGAAAGTATGGTGCCTTGCACCATCGAGGTTTGGAGGATGGAGCGGAACATGTTGTTGTTTCCACGCTCCTTGTGCATCGATATGTTGGCATCAAAGAGGATTGCCTCACTTAGTACGTAGGCAGTGTGGGGATAGGCAACAATGGAGTCAGTCACTCGGATCGGCCAGCTAAAAGGCATTGGGTGTTAGAGTTGGTGTGGGAGTCAGTGTCGTGTAGGCGTTGGAGTCGGTGTTAGAGTCAGAGTGGGAGTGCCCCTGCCTTGGCCAACGTCATCATGCCTCTGTTTTACTCTTCTTTACTCCTGTTGTTGATCCCTTGCATGACCTTGGCTGCGCCCAGTTGGTGTCGGCATAATAGGGGCATCGGTTGGAGGAGGAGAGGAGAGGGGAGTGGACTCCTTGGCTGGAACCCCAGAAGCGTGAGTACGCTCGTGGATAAGAGCAACATTCGAGCCCGACCCATGGCCCTGTCCAACGACGAGAGCAACTCTTTCCATGAACAAGCCAAGAGAAATGTGAAGTGGGTTTGACATGGCTACTTCCAAGGCATTTTCTTTGTCTGAGTTTTGGAGAATGTCGAAGTCTGGCCAAGCCTCCCTGCCTAAAGTGCCCGCCTTGACATGGATGGTGGTGAAAGGATCCCTTATCTCTTCAACCTCGATGGCTACATCTTCAGCAGACTCGACCTCATCTTCAATAGCTCTATCGGGTTCCTCCTCCAAATTTTCCACAACTAACACCGACAAAATTGACGGGTCAAAGGGTTGAGGATTTTGGGAGAAGTTACGGTACCCAGGGGTGTAGTGAAGTAGAAGGTGGGTGACCCGGCTGAGACTGTTGTTCCCTAAGTAGTTCCAAACAAAGCTGATATCGTCGAGGTTTAATTGATTCCGTGGGGGAGTAGTAGAGTTAGTATTAGAAACCTATAAACCCCCACATTCTATTCTTTATATAGGAACGTAATTATGTTTTGAAATGCTAATATATGTAATGATGTATACATGAACTAGGTGGATTGTAAGAGTAGAGATAAAATGATAGTTGAGGTAATAGGGTGTGTTGTAGAAGTTTGGAAGTATTCTGAAGTGAAAACACATTTTAGACAAAATTTGGGTAGAAAGGATTTTGGATACCTCCTATTATTTGAATCATAACTTTTTATTCTGATGTTCATTTGATCTGAAATTTTGATAGTAGATATAAGACTTCTAGGGCTACAAAAGTTTATTTCATGAAAATTTTCTAAATCGACCTCTAAATAGGCCAAAACTTCACTGGAAGTTTCAGTAGAAACAAGAAGTCCGTTCGAGCGTGAAATGATGCTCGAACGACCTACGTGCGAGTGTGAAAGTCCGCTCAAATGACAGTGCATTCCAGTACTTTTTATCTAATAGAAAAATGAAAGTACTGGGAGCAAAGGACGTTCAAACGCCAATAACATTCGAACTTGAGCTACGAATTCTGACTTTCAGATTCGCGTATTGGAGACCATTTGGCCTTCTATAAATACATAAGGGCGCCTCCTTTAGCCTCCATACACCATTTACAACCCTAGAAAACATTGAGAAACAAGAAAGAAGGGTAGAAAACACAAGATCAAGAGAGATTTACACCTTGAAGTAGATCAAAATCTCAAGTTTTGCAAGAACACTAAGGAAGAAGAAGGTAGGGATTTTCTTCCACTCTTGTTCATTGAGGCTAGGGCTTAAATATACATATGTTTTGACTCTTAATTACATATATTTGTTATGGGATCCTTGATTCTTGATGTTCTTACAAACCTTACCATGTTTTGCAAGAATCTATGGTTTGATAACCCTAGAAATTCATGTTCTTGATGTAAAAACCTAACTTTGGGAAAAATAAACTTTTCTTCTTGATATTCTCTTGTTCTTGATTCAAAAACATTAGTGCTTTGCTTGGAACAATAAAATCCTATCTTTTGATGATCTCTTGCTTATTTTCTTGAATTGTTATGTTGAAAAAATACTTATGAAATTGGGGGTTTTGAATTTACTTGTGATTTGACAAAATGGTTGGTATTGCATCTCTTGTATGGTTTGTTGTGATGAACTTGAATTACATTCGCAAACTGTCATAGAGTGTTAGAGGTTATATCCCAGTGGCAGTGAGATGATTTTCTAACACTTGTAGTGGATTTTTGTTTGTGAGAGCAACCATTATTGTTCACTTAAGTTCGAGGTTGAGGGATGGTATACTTTTTCTTGAAAGGATTCGTCAATGTCATGGGAGACGGTATATACCCTTCCTAAAGTGGTTTGTGTGGTTATGATGGGTGAACAAGGTAGAATCATTGTGTAGATTCATCAAAAGCAAACATCATACATGAGAATATGGGATGATGCTATTGAATAATTAAATTGATTTCTTCACATGTTTATTCCTTTCATTTAACTTATTACTATTGCGTTAACTTGAGATCGAATAAATTGTTACTGTTTATTTCAAGTTATATATGATATTTTAGAAAGTGAGACCGAACTATTTTATATGTTTCTAAACCTTGTTCAAGTTTGGGAGGATGGTGCTATATAGCTTAGTGCTCACCCCCTACAAATATTATTTATTCTCAGATGTCGGTTTAGATGAAGAGCTTAGAATTGACGAGCAAGTAGCATGGGAAGTGCAATTGGATGGAAGCATGGATCCCAAGGGGGATGTCTAGAGTTGATCTCTCCATGTCTTATACTAGGAGATGCATTTTGATATAATGGATAGAGGTTATTTTGTTTATTCCACTACAAGATTAATTTTTATTTTGAGATGTAATTTTCATAGTTTGACATATTCTTTTTGGATGTAGATGTCATGGTTTGGCATATTCTTTTGGATAATGTAGTAAATATTATGTACGATGAATGAAATCTACCTTATTTATGGACTTTATTAGTTTTTCTCATGATGTGAATGGTTTTAAATAGTAATGTCGTCCAATGTGAATTTTGGGGCGTTACAGGTTTGATATCAGAGCCTAGGAATTAGATCTTATATGGGAACTGTAGGTTATGAATTACCACTAGAGAAGTAGGACTAGGTCTAATGAATTGTTTACTTAAAACTTATACAAACCTTATTCTTTAGATTAAAGTAATAGGTAGGATGTCTTGTACATCAAGGAAACTAAATTGTGAATTGATGTGTAGGATGGACGGTGAACGTGGACATGGACATGGTTATGGAGGTCAAGCAAATTCACCACCACCACCACCTCCTGATGCTATGAATGGCATTTATCAATGCCTAAGGGAGCTAACCACTCTGGTACAACACCAAAATGGTAACAACAACCACAATAGGGGGTGTCATCCATTAGCTCATATATCGGGTAATGGGGATGAAAATCAAAGGATGGTAGTTCTTCGAGAATTTCTGTGGCAATACCCACCTACTTTCCAAGGAAGCTCTCACCCCTTGGATGCAGATAAATGGATTTGCTGGGTGTAGAAAATGTGTGATGGCGTAGGAGTAGCTAAGGATTTGCGGGTCGGCTTAGCTACATATCTGTTAGAGGGGGAGGTAAATCATTAGTGGGACTCGGTAAAGAGAAGGAGGAACATGGATGCTCTTACCTTGGAGGAGTTTGATCAGATCTTCCAAGACAAATATTTTCTTGAATCATTCAGGGACAAGTTAAGTGCCGACTTTCTCGCTCTACGATAGGGTAGCATGAAGGTTGCCAAGTATGAGAGGAAGTTTGACGAGTTATCCCACTATACCATGGAGTTCATAACTACCAAGGCCAGGAGGGCCAAACGCTTTGAGCAAGGCTTAAGGCCTACTATCAGGGAGAAGCTTGTGGCTCACACGATCCGAGACTATGGAAATCTTGTTGATAGAGTTGAACTAGTGGAGAGAGACATTGAGGATAACCAGCAACGACAGAACTTCGTAAGGCGAGGTCCGATCCGGATGGGTGCTAGCAGCTGTGGAGTGCAGAGGGTGGCACCATACCGTCGCCCAGACTAGGTGGTTGGATAGAGACTTCAGAAAATTCAGGGAAATGGGGCTACTCAGAATAGGGCAGGCATTGACCCACATCAATGCTTTGCATGTAGAGGGATCGGGCACTTCATAAATAATTGCCCATCGCTTTCAACAAAGACCAAGCAAGCAGCAAGACAAGTAAATGCAAACAAGCCACTACAACAAAGACCTAGCAACTCTAGCCCCAGACGGTGCCAATCAAGGAAGAGTGTTTGCTTTGATCCAACTAGAGGAAGACGTTTCCAATGCAATTGTGGAAGGTATTGTTCTTTTTTATAATTTTTGGGCCCAAATTTTATTTGATCCTGGTGCGACTCATTCATTCATACGCACCATATATGCTCTTAAATTGGGATTG